GCCACTTCGAGGTGATGGTGCATTTCTTCATTCCTCATGAAGGGTGACACCTCCCCAGCTGTGTTTCTTGCCTGTTTTTCTTCCTCCCTCATCTCAAATATTTTCCCATCACTCTGTACTTAGGAAGGAAGGAAGGAAAGAAGGAAAGAAGGAGAGGGAGGGTCTGAGGGAAATCCTGCCTTAGTCCTGCCCTGCTGCCTTTTCACCATCCCCTTGCCCCCTCCTCCTGGCCTATCCTGGAGGTCTCCCATCCTATTGCTAAGGAAGATTTGGATACAAAGCCAGGTCTCCTCCCATGGAGAGGGAATGGGTCTCCCTCTGACTTCGCCCTCGTACCCATCATGAGCAACCTGGGTAAGGAGAATAAGCACAGCAGCAGCACCCTTGAGGAGGAGGTAAGTGCAGCTGGGTGCCCCCTTGGGGAAGTGGGGCTGGGTTTGGTGCTGCAGGTGCTCGAGGGCCAGGCTGGGCATTTGACCTCTGCTGTCCAGGGCTCCCGGCAGCCCGCACCACCATCAAGCCCCCCCCACATAGTCTGAGAGGAACAGTGAGGCTCCTCCAGTGGACCATGCCTTGGCATTTGCCCTGGTCCCATCCCCTTCTGCCAGAGACCTTCAGATCTATCCCACTCCTGCCCAGGTCCCCACAGGCACCCTTGACTCAGATGATGTAGAGCTGGCCACACCAACCCAGTAGGCCACACCCACTCCATTCCACGCCCACCCAGTAGACCGCACCCACTCTGGCCACACACCCACGCCCCCCCCAAGGGCAACCACAATACTGATGCGGCCCTCAATGAAATTGAGTTTGACACCCCTGCACTAGGGGGACACAAATGAGGTTTGAAATACCTTCACATACTTTTCCTCTAATGTGATATATGCTGTAATCTGCCAGCAATACCCCTCTGGATTCTATGTAGGACAAATGAGACAAATCTTACATAAAACAATTGATGAATACAAATTTGAAATTGGAGCTCAAAACAAGAACAAAGTAGTAGCAACAGATTTCAGATTCTTAGAACACTTTATATGTCTATTTTGGAACAGCAAAGAGACAGTTTTGGAAAAGTAGACATCATTTACAACACCATTGGGTGAGAAATTCTTAAACTCACAAACATCAAGAGATTTCAGCAATTTCACAAAGTCTCAGCAAACACAATGGGTTTTTAATACAGTACGATTGTTAATTGATAAGATACTTGCAATTATTTACTCATTCATTCATTTGTTCATCCATTCATTCAATTTATATAGCTGCTCATCTCACATGCTTGATTCTAAAAAGCTTACAATTTAAAAAGTCTATTTCCCATTTAACCTGCCTCTGATAGCCTCTGAATAACTGGCCTATCTTCCTCTCCCTTCTCCCCTCCTTCCTCACCCCAATTTAAATTCTACTTCATTCTGGCCAGTCTATGCAATTGGTGAAGTGAGATGAAAAGGCAGGTTATGACTTTTATTAAAATATGTTAATGCGTTAATAAAATGGTCACTTCAGGTTTTTTCCTCAGCAGCCTGGTGGCAGTTCCAGGGCTATATTGCAGATTCAGCTCTGCCATACAGAGGGACCGAAAAGATGCCTAGCGAGATGCTGGTGAGAAAGACTGGAGTGTGCTTGATTAAAGATGGGCATGAGCTCAGGATCAAGTTGCAGCAGGATGATAAAAGATGGTAAAACATTTTTATTTATAAATGGTGCACTGGCCATTTCATTTAAGCTGACTTTTAAAACCTTTTAAGAATGAAAATCAGCAAGATCAGTATTACATTATTTCTGTCTCTTTTAGTCTTGCTTTCTTTAACACTATACATTACAACTATTCTTTTGTTGCTAGACTTATTATACTGTACAATATCTTCCTTTTATCCACATTTCTGCAGTATTTTTTTAAAGTGTTTTTCCTCATCCAAACTTCTTCCTAATTGCACCAAAGATCCCTTATCATACATCCTATTTGGTGAATTCACAAACATAAGTGGTCATTTTAGACAGTTCCACATCTTTTTTTTTCTTTTATCATATTTCCATTTATTCTACTGGTGACTTATTCTACCTTTTAGTCAGGACACTCAACTTTCACTTTAGATTTTTATCACTTCTTTCCATTTTTTCCCCATGTCCACTTTCCTCCTAAGATCCTTTTCTGACACTAGGTGAAAAAAAGATGCATTCTTTCAGTCTTTCTAATAGAATAACCTTTTTTCCCTAGTCATGTTCCTTCAAAATTCTGCAGTCCATCTCTGCAGCTATCTGATGGTGTTAAAAGTATCCCTGCAGGGTGTAAGGTGTTCTAAATAATAATAATAATAATAATAATAATAATAATAATAATAATAATAATAATAATAATAATAATAATAATAATAATAATAATAATAATAATAATAATAATAATAATAATAATAAAAGTTGGAAGGGACCTTGGAGGTCATCAAGTCCAACCCCCTGCTCAGGCAGGTAACCCTATACCATTTCGGACAAATGGCTGTCCGAAATGGTATAGCTATCGTAAATCTAAGAATTTGTTTGTACTCACTACAACTAGATAATAATCAATATATAGGGTTTTTTTTAAAAAAAAAATTGCACCCTTTAATCCCTTCATTCATAATTAAAGTTTCACCTTCACTTCCATCATGTATCCATCAACCTCATTGTTCAAGATCAGTTACACTATTCACCTTTCTCTTAGCTTCACAAACACAAAGTATACCAATTTTTCTTCCATTTCATTTAATTCATGCTCTTTCCTACACTCCTCTCTTATGTTCTCAATCTATTTTATATCATAATTAAATAGGCTCCTGTATATTGACTTTTGCTGCCCATTATTATATTATTTAATCATGACATTCACATAACACGTTTTGCTAGGAGAAAAAAAAAGCATATTAGGTTACTTTAACAACACCCACATTATGTTCAGCATTTCCTGCTAAGTTCAAGAGTGCAATACAAATGAGATTTTGGCCCACTTTGAAAAATATATCTCAATTGCTATTGTAAAAATGAATATCTTACCAAAACTGCTTTTCCTATTTCAAAGAGTACTCATAAAAATAGAGAAAAAAAATTTCGACAATCTAAACACATTGATTTTGAAATGTATTTAGTAAGGGAAGAAAGCCAGAATTAGATTAAAAGTGCTACAAGAATCTAAAGAAAATGGAGGATTTGGTTTACCGGATTGGGTCTTATACTATCAAACATGTGCTTTAACATGGCTAAAAGAATGGATAACCCTTAGACATAAAAGATTATACTTAGAAGGACATGATTTACAATTAGGATGGCATGCCTTTCTTTCTATGGTATGGGAAGAATAAAATTCATAGATACTTCCAAAATCACTATGTTAAGAAATACATTACTTTTAGTATGGGAAAAGATAAAAGCTAAATTTTATATGAAAATACCAGGATGGCTTTCAACAATGGAAGCTTTTGTTCACCCAAACTTAACTAATTTTGAGAAAATTGTAACCTATAAAGATATTTTGAATACTGAAGGGAAATTAAAATCTAAACAAGAGTTGGAAGATCAGGGTATTGATTTATCATGGTGGCCTCAATTGCAAATACAATTGAGATATGAGAATGATGCTAAAATACATGGTTTTTATAAAGACCAGACAATATTTGATCAGATGCTGTTGACTTCAGAAGAAAAGCTGATTAAGAAACTGTATAATTTTCTATTAAATTTAAAAATGGAAGATGAACAAGTGAAAGAAACAATGATAACATGGGCAAAAGATTTTGGGCACAATATAGAATTAGAAAAATGGGAAAGAAATTATAAATTGACAATGGTAACTGCTTATAAAGAAAATGTATATAAAATGTTTTATAGATGGCACTTACTACCTGCAAGATTAGCAAAAATGTTTAAAAACATGTCTAGTAACTGTTGGAAGTGTAATAAAAACCAGGCATCTTTGGTGGACGTGCCCTAAAGGAAAAAAAAATTGGACAAAAGTATATATCTGGCTAGAAAAGATGTTAAGAAAACATGTAGATTTTAAACCAGAACTATTTTTATTAGGTATATTATCAGGAAAATATGCTAAAGAAAGTATATATTTAATGTTGCATGTATTAACAGCAGCAAGGATTGTATTTGTTCAGTATTAGAAAAATGAAGAAACACCATCTGAAAAAGAGTTAATCAAGAAAACATTGGACTGTTCAGAAATGGACAGATTAACACTGAAGATTAAAGAAAAAGAAGACATAGAATATTTTCAAATATGGTATGTATTTTATCAATGGCTGGAAAAACGGGATAAAGATTAGGAATTTAATGTGTATTATTAAGTAAAATAAATGGACCCAGACAACATGTTGTTTACTAAGCACTTATCAATTATAAATGTAGAAAATTAATACAATATTATTTATATATATAAATTACAACCAAAGAATAATTTCTCAACTAGAGGTTCCCTTGTAAATCATCATACTGTTGCATATAACCCACCAACCAAGAGATACCAATAATGTGATTATGTAGCCATTTTTGAGTCCTAGTGACTACATAAATAGATTTTCTCCATGTAAGCAGCATACTGATATAAGAAGTTAATAATCATCATCACATGATGCATTTGAAAAACGGCAGATATTTTTTAAAGGCTGTAAGAGGAGTTATGTAAAAAATGGCATTACCAAAATGTACTGTATGTTTGGAAATGTTGCCACTGTAGAGAAGTAGCTTGACATAATCTCCTTTAATTTTTTCTCTCAAGTACTACTCGTTCAATTTTTCTTCTACCCAGTTTCACTCCCTCCATAAAACTACATACCTTGTGAACAGAAATTGTTTTAGAATTGTCTCCAATGCATAATGCAATTGGTAATGACAGACAACCTACCTTTTGGACAAACAGTTCTGAGAATAGTCTCATCAAAAGATCCTGAATGTGGATATGTTTCGAACAGTTCCAACCAGCTGCATCTCTGCACTAACCTCTTTGGAAAAGAGCTTACCTTGGTGTCATCAGCAGTTTCTTCACCTGTATCAGTTTCATCATAAAGATCAGACTCCTCAGATGCTATAGGTACATTTATGGTCAGGTTGGGATTATTAATGAAGTTCATTTGGTCCAGTTCATCAATGAGTTGCTCTTTTTTTACTATTCCATCCATGTATTCAGACTTGAAATCCTGGCCTGTGTCCACATGGTTGAGAGTGTCCATGTGGTTGAGAACAAAGTTCTCCTTTTTACTGTCATCTGGTTCCTCAGATGATAGCTCTGCTTTCTCTTTCAGTTCTCTGTGAAGCAGCAGGAGGACATGTTTCTTTACAAAATCAATCCCTCGGGTGATTCTGCCAATTGCAATTTGCAAATTGTTCATCTCATTATCATCATCAGATCCTGCCAGGCTATCAGCACTGAAGGAGCTAAGCAGTAAAGCTAAAAATAGGTTGAGTACCTAAAAAGACAAAAGCAAATATCACTTAAAAATTTATTCAGAAGGCTTTCACATGCTCTGAAGTGGGGACTTTGTCCCAAGTGCTGATGTTTTGACCACAAGACAAGGAAATAATCAAGGATAGGTTCTGCCAGCCAATTCACAATGTTTAAGAAAAATAAAGATAACGGGAAGAAATGTAAAAAAAAAATATCTTGCCATAAATCATGCAAAATAAGTATATGGTGTATTACAACAGTTTGTTTTGTTTCCAAAGATGCTATTGTTACTCCAAACCTTTAGTTTATCCAAGCATTTCCTGAAATTTTAACAGGATGTTATTCTTTGCATATAAGGCCAAAGTCTGATCCTTATTTTATTTATCAATTTGTCAGCCAGGAACTTTGTGGCAGGTTGGTTACATTAAAACACATCTAGGTCTTGAGGCATAACCTATTTGTATTACACTGTTACATCAATAGTGTAACAGTTCTATATGGCCTACTTTCTGATAATTGTGAAAAACATGCTGTACAGTAAAAGCCAGTAAAACAGATAACTTATGGATATGGATATTTAAAATAAATAAAATAATCCCTTCCTAATGATCTGCTTCTTAGACAGTGTCCAGAGGAAGATGGAAAGAAAACTATAGCAAATGTCTCCCCAAGTTAAAAACCTTAAAGCAGACATATCAAGGCCCACAGGCCAGATCCAGCCAGTGATATCTTTAGATCTTGCTCCAAGTGGACTAGTAGGAGGAAGTGATTGAGTATGTAGGGGGGGGGGAGCTGAAGTGGCAGCAGTGCCAGAGAGGCTCAGGGGAGAGTCAGCTGGAGCTGCAGTGTTGCTGGGGCTCTGCTGAGGTTCCGCGTGGCTCCAGCTGATTGGGGCTTCTGGTGACCTGGGGATGGTCGACAGCCACAAGCAGTCTTCAGGCAGAGAGTCAGTTGGAGTTGTGGGGATGCTGGGGATGCCTGAATGAGCACATGCAGCTGATGAGTGCTGTGTGAAAAGGCCAGCCGGGCAGTGAGTGAATGCCTGGGGGAGAGAGGAGAGGATATAAAAGGAGGGTTTTGGCAGGAAAGAGGAGTGAGGTGGGGGGAAGAGAATATAATAGGAAGGAGAGATGTTGGTGGGGCAAGCCTGAGGGGAAAAAGGGAACAGCAACTGGCCCTTTGAGGGCAACTATAATGCTGATGTGGCCCTCAGTGAAATTGAGTTTGACACCCCTGCCCTAAAGAAACCAATATTTTCTTCAGTTTTGTATAATGGTAAGAATATAAAATCTAACTTGATTTACTCTTGCTTGATTCAAGGTTATTACATTCAATAAGCAAAAAACATATTAAAATATTTGTTCATCTTTGAAAAAATGATGGAAAAGCACTTGCTCAGTTTGGCAAATAATATTATGAGATAACCCAATGTAGTGATTGCTAAATCACAATGACACACAAGACCTATACATGTGAAAGAGTTATTATTTGCACTATTTTGCATGTTGAAATTGGTCATCTGGAGAAAAACCTGTGACGGCTTATGGGTTCCTAAAATTTTTAGAATGATGGCAACCTTGATGATCTGGGAGAGGCCAAAGAAAAAAGTAGGGAAAGGAGAGAAAGTTCTTCTCTCATGAAATAAATCTGATGAGCAATAGCCAGTTTTGGACTTCAGAATTTAGTGATTGTGGTATAGCAACAGTTCATACCAGGAAAAATGGAAGCTTTTCATCATACAATATATCATTAATTTACAAGAGTTATTGCCAAAAGATGAGTGATAGTCATGATCATATATGGGTTCGTAATGGGATTAGACAAATTTCTAGTGATTCAGCTACTTTTAGCCATGACAAATAAGAAGATCCTCCAATATTCACAAGCCATGTTCCATGAATACCAATTCTTAAGGTCAAACAGCCCTTAAGGGGAGTTTGCATGATCTACTTTGGGATTTTTTGTGGTCATCGGTCTGACTTCTGTTGGAAACAGGATGCTGAATCTGTTTGCTCCAGTAAAAAAAAAAAGTTCTTTTGAATTTGCGATCTTGCTTTTGGTTTGCCATATTTTACCAAAAGTAAAACCCTCTTCTGTACATTCCCACTATTTTCTTATCATAAAAACCCTTAGGACTGGTATGCCGGTACAGTAACATCAGCAAAAAAGTGGAATGTGCTTGCTGTGAAAAGCCTGCTTCCTGCCCACTCACAGCTGTTGATGTTTGTGCTTCTATCTTGCCAGAAATACATTTGAGAAGGGATTTTGCTGATATTCAAGGTCATGGCTATTTACACATGTCTTATGCCTCATGACTTAACTAGGACCTTTATATAAACTCTTTTGGTTTCCTTTAAGCTCAGAGGCTTCTTTTAAATACTACTTATAGCTGGTTATCATTAATACCTGTAACATTGGGGCTTTCACTCTTATAAATCTCATAAATCATGATGTAGGTACTGAAACCTGCATAAGTAGAAAAAGATAGCTAGTTTAAGAGACTCCAAAATATACTAAGTTTCTTAGATCAATCTACAACATTCTTAATATGAAAAATACTTGGCTTGAGATGAGAGATAACAGAATTGGAGATTGGAAGTCACATGCATGCAAATGGAATTATTTAGTATTGTGGAGAGGCTTTCTCTTTGTTAACTTCTTTGCCTAAATTACATTTCCATTTGCTTATTTTCCCATAGAGAAAATGTGTTTTGATTTAAAATAAATCAACCATATTTGAATCTAGTAATAACTTGTATGGGGGGGGGGGAAACTCTTGGCAGAAAAAGAATCAGAACCTAGCAATTGTAGGGTGTTGAGCAGCAACACTGATACCTGATTGCTTACACTTCTAACATTAAAATTAGGGGGATTGTAGGGTATATTTTCTTTTTTTCAGGAAAGAAAAGAGAATGAAAGAGGATTTATAATGGAGCCATAGACCTTTCTGCTTCGTCAATGAGTACATGCAGATCACAGATCTTTATTTTTGATTTTTATTTTTTTTAGGTAAATACTTCTTATTCACACATTGAGTTCATGGTATGTACTGCAGCTGAATCTATCTTTGGGAATTTGTTTTGAGTAATCTTCACTTCTTTTCACAGTCTTCCCAGGGGCTGTTTCATGCATCACAAAGGACTGATGCAACATTAATAAGGCCAATACCTAGAACAGCAAATTCAAGATTTTGCTGTGATTACTTTTAGGGAAACAGTTTTTTATATTTACTTCTGAAATGTTTGTTTCTATATTTGCTTATGTGTGTAGATGCCTCCATTGGTATATGCCTGTCTCTTTCATTTTTTGAGATCTTTTTATTAAAGCTAAATAGAAAGTTATTATGCTACAAAGCAAAGCATCATCCTCTAGGATTACCGGTAGCTTCTCTCACAGTACTGCCTCTAGGCTGCTCCTAAACTCTATAAGCCAGGGGTCTTCAAATTTGGCCCTTTTATGACTTGTGGACTTCAACTCCCAGAATTCCTCAGCCAGCGTGCCTGGCTGAGGAATTCTGGGAGCTGACATCCACAAGTTATAAAAGGGCCAAGATTGAAGACCCCGGCTATAAGCATTGCTAGAAACTAAAAGCAGAGGTTCCTCTAATAAAATAGTTTGCTCAGAATTGTACCCACTGGTGTATTAAAAGCCATGCTCATGGTAAAGAGTCTGGGAGTGGGGTATTGTTGCCAACATCCAAATAAGCAGGGAGCTCCAGACAAATAATCAAGCAAAAGACAAAACCCCAATCAAGAACTACTGAGGAGAAAACCACAAGACCACTAACACTGGCAATGCAAGCTACCGTATATAATCAGAGAGTAGACCCCATTCTGATTAACACTGATGATATTATCTAATTGGGTAATAAAACATTTGCAAGCAAATAAGCATGCTCCTAAGACTGGAAGTGAATGTTTTTTATTATAAGAAAGTGCATGCAAGTAGATTGAAAATCTGGCAAAAATCACATCCTTCTTTTGCAAACTGAGAGGTAATTCAGGATTGAAAATATATCTTTGCCTTCCTGTTTCCAATAAGATGGGAAGACCAAGTGGCAAACCAGTGGAATTTGTTTAATTCTTTGCAAATTTAATACTTCAGATTTAAAGTCAGAAGTATCCGTTAGATGCAGCAGTGGGAATTAATGGGATATGCAAATACTATCAAAAATAGCTTCATATTTGAAACACAAATCCAATACAAAATTCAAGTTGGAAACCATCCATGCATAATAATAATGATGATAATACATGGACTTGTATCTCATCCAAAGTTTGGGTTTCTCTTAACACAATGCTTTACTATAATTCATATTATACTGTTTATTGTAGCTACTATTGCACATTTGCTTGCTTTTAAAATTTTCAATCAATACAACACAGTATACTTTAACATGCAGCATTATTAGAGCCAATTTTGCAAAGTGGTTAAGGCGTCAAGACAGAAACTGGGAGACTTTGAGTTCTAGTCCTGTCATACACCTGAAGTTAACTGTTAGATCTTGGGCAACTCCCTCTCTCTCAGCCCTAGGAAGGAGGCAATGACAAATCACTTTTGAAATCTTGCTAAGAAAACTGCAGAGACCTATCTAGGCAGTTGCCAGGGGTCAAAAATTGATTCAAACGTGTGCGGTGTGCATACATGTGCACCTGCACATGTGCGTGCACACAAACACACACACATTATTACATAATCTGCACTTTGGGTCTTGTCTAGTATGGTAGATACCTGCTTCTATGGATCTGGTGTTTAGTGCCTGTTCTTGTACTGCTATGATCAGTGCCTCTGTGCTGTCTTTCAGTGCAGCCCTTTCTAGGTACAAGCAGAATTTCCCAATGTCAGTCATCCTAGTGAGCTGCCAGTGATACACCCCACGCAGGGGCTTGTTTTGTCATGGCACTTCCTCTACTTCAGACATGTCAAACTCGCGACGTCACGTGACATTGCGCAATGTATCGGGTCGGTTTTGCCATTGCCGGCAATGTGGTGGGCGGGGCTTCTGGATGATGCATTTGACCC